GCGTTACAATGGGATTGGCCTCTTCTTTGTCATGACGTTCCAGGATGGACAGATCTTGGTCAAATGCAAGATATACAAAGTGAGGCATTGTATTAAACAGAGCATCTAGAATATTTGCAATTATGCTCTCAGTGGGGGAGATGTTTGTAAAAGAACAGAGAGAAATAGAAAAAACATTTGGATGACAGAAAAATTGTTTTTTATGTCTGTTTTTTAAATTCAATGATATTAGCTGAATTATTTTCACTTATTTTTAAATGCTCGTTTTTTTGTTTTTTTTTTTTTTGCTTGACACCACTTCTTAATATCTCAAAATACAGATTCAAGTAACATATTTATTCCATTATTTAGAGTGTTTTAATGTTTATTATTTCAATACCTACAAAGATGTTCAACTACATTTTGTTCAACCCTTAACAAGCATTGTACCCTGGGGGTTAATTGAAAAATTAAGGTCATAATTAAAACAAAACCATAAAATCGTATTATATTTGTGAAGGTGAATTTGAAAAGGGTAATTAAATATTTTTTATATTTACTTACTTGTGTATTTTCATTTAAGGTTCTAAAATATGAATAGAGATTTAAATAAATATATGTTTAGGGGTTTCTTTGTCATTGGTTAGATCAGCTTTAGTCTTCATTCATTTACAACCAGAAATGCAACACTTAGAAAATAAAGTTTCTGGGTTTTTTTTTTGTTTTGTTTTTTAAGAAAAGAAAATATATATTGTTTTCATATTAATGAAAATGTATTAATTCACAGGGCTTTAAAAGATCATTTGCATAAAATGATAAAGGAATCACAGTGTAAATAGATGTCAGTGCTTTGATAAAACAACACTAAATCCTTGTATTATATTATAACCTGTGCAGAAAAGAATGCCAAATGTCAAAATTTGGCAAAAAACAGAACTTCAGCGATTATAGATTCACCCCTGGATACAAAATATACTCAAATCTTATGATATTTGCATCAAAATTATGTAAATTTGTTTCTTAAACCAACAAAAGAATGTAAAGTGACCTGGGAAGATTACTGTCCGGTCAGGAACTGGCTCCTGAGGGGTCTGTCAGTGCACCGGTGGTTAATGCCCTCTTCTAGCTACACATCTGGTCGTTCACGTTGGCCAAAAGCCACATTCAGACTGAAGCACAAAATGCTGAACATCTATTAAAAAATGTTGAAGGTAAACTAATAGAGCCTAAAATAGAGTAAAACATTAAAAAATTGCCCTTTTCCACATAAAAGTTTCTCGGCTAGTAGAACAAACTGGCATTTAAAGAAAAGTTTTTCATCTATGCTTTCTTGAAATCTGGTTTTTAAAAATTTATTTTTCTTAAATAGAAACTTACGGCAGATTTCTATAGAAAAAAAATTCAACGCACAGATAATTGTTTGTCCTCGTTCGTTTGAATGTGATTCTGAGGTTCATCATGACAACAATCTACCTGCTTTTGTACATGAAAACAAGTGGGTGGCAGTGAACAGCTGGTCGTTCACCCCGGCCTTTAAATGTTATCAGGACAAATCCAACAAAAAAAAAAACGTCTGTAAAACTCTGCATCTGATACTTTAAATGCGATGTAGCTTCATGCAGAATAGCCTCCTAACTAACAGACAGCAGCTGCAAGTTTAAAATTAACTGATTTATAGGGCACTCAGGAAATACTTTAAAAATCAACATTTTAAGCCAATAGTGTTACTGCAATCCAGGACAAGACCTTGTTACCTTTGTAACATTTTGATGGCAAAAATAATCATCAATGCAATAACAAGAAACGCTAACTTCCCTGAATATATTAAGGAAAATAACAAAAGTGCTTCTATAAGAAATTCCTGAAAAACACAAAAATGCTGATACTGACACTTATGTTTTTAGTTTATAGACCTAAATATAATTTTTAACTTGGCTTATTAACTTTTTTACTTTACTTTTTATCTTTTCTATTAGCTTTTTACCTTTTTTTCTTGACTTGTTCATCTAATTGGTAAAATCCTAAAATAAGATAGACATGTAGCAACATCTTTGCTGAATGGCTGGATATCATAGATCTTGTGCTTCTAGAACTCACTGACGGACTGGCATCAAGTAAACACCTGATAGTATTTAAATAATTACAATTTGTTGTTCTCTTTTGTAAGTGTGGTATTTTTTTTTTCTCCTCCAGAAGTGAAAGAAAGTGTGACAGGAAATGAATCCGGAAACTACACTGCTGCCACCTGGTGGAAGATATGTGAACAGCTCCCCACTCAAGAAAACTTCCCCCAGTGTGATTCCTGGCAGACTGAAAGTGTTTTTTAGTAGCAAGATTCATTGTCTGCATCCTTGCATGGAATAAAACACAATAACCTTAGAAAAAAAAAAAACGTAATACAAGATTTTTCTTTTAAATTCCAGCTTTAGAAGCTAGGGAAGCATTAATGTATAACGTATTTTGCATCTCTTCCTAAAATATTCACACTTCTTGAACTTCTTCATATTTTACAATAAGCTTCAGTGTATTTAATCACAATAGGCTGTTTTGCTTGTTGCAATATTATTGTTTTGTTTTTGTTTTTTTCGTAAAAGTTTACAAGAATAAAAGTCTTAAAAATGTGAAATCAACTGTATTTCTCCCCCTTTTTCTTAAAACCTGACAACAGAATAGAAATCTCCAAAAGATAAGAAGATATTTAGGGGTATCAAGGGGAAGGGGAGCACTTTTATTATGTACTTTCTCATTTTTCTTTTTAACACATTATATGCCCTGTAATGCACTTAGAGGAACGCTTTAGGTAAGGAAACCCAGCCACGGCTGCAAAGAAAAGAGAAGCGGCAAGAAAAAAGTAAAAATAGATCATATAATTAAAAGTATATACAAATATATTAGATTTTAGTTCAAAATTGTGCAAACAAAAAACAAAAAAGGTGGAGAATTAAACCCACAGAGACCGTTTTGGTGATGAATGCTAAGATTATCTTCAATGTATAGAAATATGATGCAGATGTAGGTCAGATATGAATGAATATTCCATATCTAGACCTGATTCAACAGCTAAAAGATAAATAAAAAATAAAGGAAATAGTTAAAATGCAGCAAAATGTGGAAAAGTTGAAGGCGCATAAAGTTTGCTAAGGCCCCGGGTCCCCTGCCAACACTCTTCACCTTCATTGATGGCATGCTGATGAAAGTAATAAACAACCGCAACCTTTATGGGCCTTTTCTGGCCTTTTATTATAATAAAATCCAAAGAAATCTCAATAAAAAACGCTTAAAGGTCAAAACAGAAAGCCTCTCTCGCTGTTTGGTGTTGGAGCTCAGCCAGTCTCCAAGATCTTATCTGGACTGAAAAATATCTATTTTTTTTATTAAAAACATTTTTGCTCTTTCTTTCCACCAACTCTGCATTTGTTAATGTTAGCTTGCTTTCATTAGCCTGTGAGATTTAAGGAAATGTACATTTATAAATGAATTAAGAGGGAATGGATGGGGAATGTATTTCATCAGAGTCGGATCCATCGGCAATGCCATAAATTCCATGTGCGCTTCATCCAATAGAAGGTTGCACAGGTTAAAGTTTTTGATTTTTATTTCAAATTTTCAGATTTTCCAAACACTCAAATTGCAAAAGTTATCATTTTAACTTGTGCTTCAAAGTATAAATGCTAGAAGTCATTGGAAATGTACGGAAGAGGTTGCTGCTATTTTCAAATATCCATTACTGTAAAAATGTCCATAGCTGGATATTGGTTATTGATTCTCCAGGTGCAGTTTTATATTGTTAAAACTCTTTACAGTACAGTATTTGTTTATTTTTCAACTCTTCACTATTAAGTTATTCGTATAAATTTTTCTAGGGTCCACATTTGTTTGACCATTTTTTCTATAATCTTTTTGCTGCACTAAACACCAGAATTTCCCCCATTGTGGGAAAATAAAGGGATTTTCTATTCTATTCTATCCTATTCTATTCCATTCTATTATATTCTGTTCTGTTCTATATCATTCTATTCTGTTCTATTAGGTTCTATATTATTCTATTCTGTTCTGTTCTGTTCTATTCTATCCTATTCTATTCTGTTCTGTTCTATTCTATTCTGTTTTTTATCTATTCTATCCTATTCTGTACTGTTCTATATTATTATACTCTATTCTGTTGTGTTCTGTTCTTTTCTATTCTATCCTCTTCTACTCTGTTCTATTCTATGATGGGTTTTTTATCTATTCTATCCTATTCTGTTCTTTTCTATTATATTCTAGTCTATTCAATTCTGTTGTGTTCTGTTCTATTCTATCCTATTCTACTCTATTCTATTCTGTTCTATTATATTCTATTCTATTCTCTTCTATTCTATTATCCTCTATATTATTATATTCTGTTCTATTCTGTTCTGTTCTATTATATTTTGTTCTATTCTATTCTATCCTATTCTATTATATTCTGTTCTAGTCTATTCTCTGCTATTCTATTATCTTCTATATTTTATTCTGTTCTATTCTATTCTATTCTATTCTATCGTATTTTGTTCTTTTCTATTATATTATATTCTATCTTATCCTATTCTATTTTATTCTATTGTGTTATGCTCTGTTCTATTCCATTCTGTTGTGTTCTGTTCTATCCTATTCTATTCTATCCTATTCTACTCTACTCTATTCTATTCTGTTCTATTCTATTCTATTCTCTTCTATTCTATTATCCTCTATATTATTATATTCTGTTATACTCTATTCTATCCTATTCTATTCTGTTCTATTATATTCTGTTCTACTCTATTCTCTGCTATTCTATTCTCTTCTATATTATTATATTCTGTTCTATTCTATTCTATTCTATCTTATTCTATTATATTATGTTCAATATTATTCTATTCTATTCTATATTATTCTATTCTATTCTATTCTATATCCTAAGGGCTGTTTTAAAATCTTTTGTATATGTAATGTGCCAGCTTTCGCCACTAGGTGGCGCCTGGTATGTTGTGTTTCGACATCTACTTATCAGATTCTTGTTTTTTTTTTTTTTTTAATCTCATTAGGTCCCCTCCAACAGAAGACACTCTGTCAGTCCACGGACATTCACAGTGCTGCAGGTAAGACTGGAGTTCCTTTCCCTAACTTTTCCAGCATATAATCCAGGAATGTTGACAGATTAACAGTGCGGTGAAATCCGATGCCACTCTGCGCTTTATTTTGTTTTTTGCTCTCCATGCACTCTATCGATCTCTGAACGTTATCTCAGTCTTGTAACAAAACATGGCGGCAGGAGAGTTTCCTCCTTTTGTCATCTTAAAAGAAAAGGAACTGTTGTGTTTAGCTTAGTTTCAGTTCTCGATACTTTTTAGGAAAACGTTTGAAACTTTCTACAAAGTACTTCTCTCGAAAATGTGACGTCATGTTTTAGGCTTTGACCTTAAAGTACCTTTCTTAATTAATAACCAGCTGAATGTGACATATTTTACTTGGTAGGTTTAAACTCACTTCATTAAATAAGTGTCTGTTAAGAGGGGAGAGAAGAAAGACGAGCCTGTGATCTGCAGCTCCAGTATGGAACCACGTTGATGCCAAAAAAATAAATAAATAAATAAAAATAAAATATATATATATACTAATATTTAAAATTCTGGCCTTCTGACACCGTTTAAATATAGTAAGTTCTGTTTGGCTTTGTTTAAAAATTAAAAAGAAAAAAAAATAAATAAAAGAAAGTAGCAAAACACAATAAAATTTTCTGAAGGCTGATGATGTTGCAGAGTGGGGCTGCAAAGCAAACAGCTTTTGTTCTCCTTAACCCAAAGATGGATGACTGGGACAAACATGACTTAAGTCTGTTAAATGCATTTTGCATTCATATCATGTCAAAAAGGGAATATTTTTAGAAACTAAATCTACTGATGATTTGCACTCTTTGTTAAAGGCATCCTTGATGTTTTTCTTCTTTTTCTTAACTGCTGTGTTGTTGGCTCACCTCTTGGATACCATCATATACACTAACAGCTTCAAAACAGCTAAAACACTGAGCTTAAGTTCCCATTGTGCTCTATGTGTGTAGAGCAAAATAATTTGTATAAAAATAAATTAAGCTGATTGAATTTGCTTTTAAATGACTGACAATATTATACGGTGTTCCAATGACTCAATTGGAAATAATATTACTGAATCATAATGATAATAATAATAATGATTTAACTGACATATAGATATAGAGGATATAGATAACAGGATTTAATTCCTACCTTAAGATGAATTGTGGAGGCTTTAAATTTAACAATTCTTAATGGATCCATAGCTCGGATATATCTGGAGGTTAAATTGACTGAAATGTTATGTTCTGATGAAGAAAAAGGGTGGAAAGAATATAAAATGAGAGAAAAACAACAAACATGAATGGTGCTTTTAAAGAAACTGCTTATTTGAATACTTGAAATACATTACAAGAAAAAAAACGGCGAAAATTGTGACTTTAAAGCAACAAAAAATAAAGGTCATTACTTCCTCTGTAGGTTAGCGGATCCAGATTGGTCAATAAAATCTAAATAGAGATATTTTAGCAGAGTTATCACAGACCTAAGTGTGACACAAGCATCCGGGTTAGCGGAAACAGTTAAGAACCAATCTGATGATGCAAAAAAGTGTTTTTTATAAGGATTATACGGCAGCCAGCTGTTAAAATTAGAAAAAAATTAATTATTTTGGGACATTAGAAAGAGCATAATGAAAACGCAGCTGAGCACTTGAGCATGATGGACCCGCCTCCTGTGCTGTAATTGGTCATCAGCTTTATCAGCCTGAATTACCTCCTGTTTAATTCAGTTTGGCTGCTAACGCTAGGAAATTGTTAAACCTATCCAAGACTTTTCCTGTGCCCATGTGCTTTAGACAATAATTAATCGTTTTAGCAAAAGAAAACTCCATTTGGGTTTGGTTTGAAGAAAAAAAATCTTTTAGGGAAACTGTTTTATTCTCACTGGTAAGTAAAGCGGACCAGGTGTAGGCTTTTAAACGTATACTATGCAACCGGTGTTGATTTTCCAGCGAGGCTCCCCCCAGAGGCCAAAAGTAAAAGTGCACTGTCGTAAATATGCTCAGCTGTTCTCCTGGTTCCTCCGTCAAGCCAGGCGCGGTTGTTTTGAGCTTAGCAGACAGGCGAACGCAACGAATCACCATGTCTGTAAGTGACTATTTAGTTCCGATTTTCGAGTTTGAAAATTTAGCATGTTTCCGACATGGGCTTTCGCTGTTTTCTCGCTGGTTCCGCCATAGTAACTGCACAAATATCGCCACTGCGCTAGCAACGAGCATGCCTTTCACTGGGGGCGTGTAGCAGTTCTCGCCGTAAAGCAAGACCGACTCTTGCGATGCACGAGACTTCTGAGCCTGTGGGTGCGGGCCGAGGGCTCCTGCAATTGCAAGTACGGTATTTCCCCTACAGACCACCAGGACGGCCGAGAAAACCTTTGTTCGACCTGAAATGACTCGTTTAATCATCCAAAACGTTATGGAACACATTAACTGAAAAATGTTGCATAGTATGCCTTTAAAGAGTTCTTGAGAACCTTATTGGAGTTCATGGCATTATTGACCATTTAAAATACAAGGATTTATGGACGAAAATATTTGGCCTCTAAACCAGACTTAAAATCCTTTGGTTGGGAGTGAAGAGAGAACCCAAGAATCAGTCTGATGTAGGGCTTAAACAGTCATTGGATTAATCATTATTAGTCAATTATTGAAATATTGATCAACTAATTAATCGTCAAGTGGAGTATAGAGACTCCAAAATATGGCATTAGCTTAAAGACCAACCACCTCCGAGAAGTAATTACACTAAAACAGTTTGCATTCAAGAGAAAATAATTTTTGTCTGTCAATATGCTCTATCTAGAAGTCTTCAAGTGGCAGAGTTAGCTGAATTTGGATAGAATCAATTATTAATATTAATTAGTTGCAGCCCTGATATTGATCCATAGAGAGCTTGAAACCAAAAAACGCAGAATAAGCAGATATTATCCCATAACTTACATGTTATAATCTTTAAGATGAAAGCAATTGCAATATAAGCTTCATTTATTATATTAAATTATAAAATTGTCTTACATGTATTCAGGGGTCATATGAAGGTGTCTACAAATGACCATAAGATCAAAACAAACTGGACAAAATGGAAAACCGCACTGGTCTGACGGCACTTCTCTCTCTAAAACCAATTCAAATCAAATAGTTTCTAAAGAGCTCTTGGACCAACCAGATTGGTTCTGTTGCCGGTTCAGACGGTGGGTAATTTAGTTTTTTCTGTCTTAGCTGCTGAAAAAGCAGCTCCGGCTCAGGAAAACGATTTTAGAAAAACATCAGATTTGAAGCACAGGCTGAAATAACAGGCAGCTGCAAGCACAGAATCTGGATGATGAATCAACTATCTGAATAAAAAGAAAGTCTGTCTGTCTAATCTGCTCAGTAAAGGATGGTGCAATAAAATGTGAGGTTTAATTGCACCGTGAAGGGCATATCTGCTAGCTAATCTGATAGGCTTCTTAAACCCTGAACAGATATGCACCTTGAGTGTCAGTATTAGCTGGAAAGTTGGGCAATTCTTTTTTTAATTTGCCCC